AAAGTATAACCAAGCTTTTGAGCGTTTGAGCCGCTGGCGCCGTGTTTCCTGCCAGGTAAATGACGCTCCGCAACGTGGTGACGTCATTCGGGGCGACTGGAATCGATAAGGGAATCGTTTGCAAAAATGGCAAACGATTCCAAGGAATTGAAACAGTGGGAACCGGTTCTCAACAAGAACCGGGTTTCGATACCCATCCCTAGCTCAGAGGCAGCTAAGTGTAACTGTATTCAGAGTTACTGAAGCAGGAGACAGCGTTGTCTGTATTTTCAGCTGTGTATTAATACACATGTGTTGCCCCGGTGAATATTCGCATTTGCACAACAGAGAAGAGGAATAAGATGAGTCTGATTTTTTTGGACATACAAAACACTTGCTATTAAGAGTTGTTCATCTTTTTATTTGTGCGTTCAAAAATATTTAGAATCTAACCCGACCTTTATTTTTAAGACATGCCATCAGTCGGTTGGATAAACTCGTTTTGTTTTACTTTGCACACATGCACTCTCTCACACATTGACACACATGCCAGTGGCAGCTCGGTGACACCACAGTGCTCACTGGGTCAGAAGCAATAGACGGAGAGTGGTGCTGAGGCAAGAGATGAACAGAGAATGAGGAGGATGAGAGAGGACGCCTTGAGGGGAAGAGGGAGGAAGGAGTGGGAGAAACATATCTTTGGGTGGATGGCATTGCCATCTAATTGTTGCTATTTGTTTGCCATCATCAGTAGGCTCAGATATTTGTTTATTGTGCTCGTCTACTCCTCTTTCTGCTCCTCTCTTCCCTTCTTTCTCTAGCCATCAATCCCTTTTATCCCCCCTCCATCCCTGCTGCTGTCAAGACAGCCCAAGCAAATGGCTCCTCTCTCCCCCACTTCCCAGCTTCTCTTCCTCCTCTCCTGCTCCTCGCGGTCCCTCACTCTCTGTCTTCCTCAATAAAGCCCCTTACATTATGTGGCAAGTGAGCACACAGTCCCATACAATACCTCCTGAGGCACCATGGGAGAGATTTCTATATAAAGACGGATAAAGCGAAGGGCTGGGCTGCAGATCGGGCGAGAGTCAGGGAGGTCACATACACACAATAGCAGTCTGAGATGGATGAGGGGAAGAAAGAGCAGTAACTGAGTAACAGGACAAGGTTAGGTTCAGTAGGCGAGGATTTCAAGATGCAGACACCAGCAGTGTTGGAGGCGGGGGATGTATTGCAGGTGCTGGAGGTTTGTGAGGCTCCGGAGGAAATTAAAGAAGTTATTGTCACCACATTAGAAGAAGGTTCTAATACTAACTCGACTCCAGTGACCAGCTGTGGAGCAGGAACTAAACCAAGCCAGGTAAGGCTGACAGGTCTCTGCGACTCAGCAGAGACGACGCTCTGTTGTTTTTAGCAAGCTGTGTTTGATTTTCATGCTCAGTGTGGCTTTATTTCCTAATGCAATCATTTGCATGAGTCCGGACACACGTCCAGTCAGGTGGAACGTGTACTTCACGATATAGCAGGCATGTATTTGGTGTGTTGGTCTGCTGTAACATTGAACACAGCTGCACCACAGTATGCTTGTAAATGCAGCTGATGTGGAAAGAACACTAAAACAGTCTAATGGCCATTGAGCGGTGGCACGCTTGGCATTTATTTTGACTTTTTATAATCTTTGCTTTCACTGTGCAGTTCTATGTGCCATCAAGTAGGAAATGAATTTTTTTGGTCAATAGCAAAATCAAAGCAGAAAGAGTGCAGCTCTGCTGGGTTTCCTCCTCAGGCAGCAGAAATGGTGGATGCTGGAACAACCACAGCAACTGTTTGAAGTCTACCTGACAGAAAATATAGCTCTGCTAGTGGAGGAGGCAAAGAAGAAGAAGAGGGATCAAAGTGAGAAAAAACCAAAGTAAAAACAAGCTGACTCGATGAATCTGAGACTTGAGACTGTTCAAGAGGCTCATTCATTTGGCACTTTTTCCAACTAGAGAAATACGTGGCAAAGCCTGACTAGTTATTTTTCCTATTATAGGAAATTCCTATCTCAGTTTTTCACTGGTAGCATAAGGAAAGCTTAGTTACCTCTTCATGTCAGGTATGACAAACACATGTAGGCATTTCAGAGCAGTTCTAGCATTCATTTGGACTTGTGTTTCTGATATCTGTTTCTGGTCTTCACCAACTTTTTATCTGTGGCTTTTTATCTGACAAATCCTTCATTGTGTTTATCAGCTAACGGCTAGCTTTATCTGGTTGTTTGGTGCTATGTGGAGTAGGATGGAGGGGTAAATGTACAGCGGGTATTTAGATCTTTTTTGTTGAAAACAGTTGCCATTGTTAACCTTGGTCATGCAGACGAGCAGGTGAACGTAGTAGGCCTTATTTATGGCTGGCATGTACTTGAATCTTGATCTGAAGCTAAATGACTGACACTGTGGCTTTTGAGGTGGGGATAGGACTCTATGAATCATGTTTCTGCATCCACTCTACAACTACCCCCTCATGATTACCTGACATTGTGTATAACCCTGTTAATAATACAGCAGTTTGGCTCTTTTTCATGTGCCACTCAGCTGTCAGTCTCCTGTTGTCTAACACTCCCTCCTCTATCCCGCGAATTAGTCAAAGAAACTTTTTTAAGTGCTTTGCTTCCTTGTCCAGACAAGTTGTTGGCAGCCGCACACGCTGTCCGCACTTTAAACAAAGGAGGTTTTAAATTGCTGTGAAGAGCTCTTTGGGGCAGCTTGATGCTATATTTTACACACACACATGCAGACACACACACCTTGCCTCCCAGGAGTAAGTAGAGTGCACTTGTTCCTGCCCTGAGTGAGGGGCTTTGTTTGCTGCCCACTTAGAGCTGAACAGAAAACAGGCTTTTAGTGAACATTTGATTTACTGTGAGAAACAATAGCTGTTATTTATACTCTGGTGGACCTAGAAGGCAGAAAATACTCAAGTGAAAGCTTTGTAAAAGTGTCCTGGCTGACACGGCATGCACTATATATATAAATATATATATACACCTGTGTCAAACACACTTGGAGCTTTCTGAGTCTGTTTTGCTCTGTTATCAGTCTAATCATTTCTTAACTACTCCAGTACTTGCAGCAGAAAAAGGGAAGGCAGCTCAGGGTTTAGGTTATTAGTGAGCTGGCAGGCTGAGTTGAAAGCTTATGGCAGTTATTTCACTTGTAAAGAATTTCTGCAGGTGCAAAATGTGTTGGTTTCTCCCACTTATACAGCAGAAATGGGTTGATGTCTCACCCAGGGCCACTACTTTGGCAAAAACAGCTGGAACTGTCACACAGTTTCACATCAAAAGCACCCCAGAGGCCTTTTGAGCAAAGCAGTTCAGTAATGCAATACGATGCATCCAAACAAGGGCTCGTGTGCAGCTCAGATCAGCCTCTCTGGATGCGTTTAAAGCTCAGCAGATACGGTATCGTGTTGCAACACTTAGTTTGCTGCCTCACCAATAAATTTCTCTTTTCAAAGAAATGCTTTCAATGTAAAAACTACACCTGCTGCACCTGCCGTGCTTTCCATAGTGTCTCTACTCAGCTGATTGTTATGTCTCACTACATTGTTTGCTGGGTGAAAGATTTGTGCTTTGTTGGAGGTTGCTGAAGTACCTCTGTTTTTGATACTGAGTTATCATTAGATCTCATTCTGGGGGTTTGTCTCATTGTCGTGACAGAGAGAATGTAAACGTGTAACGTCTCTGTCACAATTTTGTTAGTGATTTTTTTTTTTTTTTTCAGTACCAAATTCAAAGGTTCTTGGCTGACGAAGGGCAGATTGCTGACTTTGGGTCAGGAATGAGTTGCTGCCTGAAGTTGATGAGTTAAAGTATCAGGGTTAAGCCGGGGAAGAGTGAAGTGGGAGATTAATTGCAGTGCACTGTTCTGATTAGTTGTGGTAATTAGAGCTGAGCATGAAGAACAAGACGTCTACTTTCTGATCTTAACCTATCACCGTGAGCTGTGTTCTGTGACAAAAAAAACCCAAGACACACTGAAAGGAATCAGTTTCTGTGCCGGCCTATAAAAACTTCAGTTTCCTGCTGGAATAGTTGGAGGTGGTGGCTGGGAAGAGTGTGGTCTGGACACTTCAGCTTAACTCCTAGATCCTGATGAGTGGCACAGTAGACGTTGGATGGATGGAGCAAGGGCAGTGGTCACACATAAACAAAAAAAAAATAATTAAAAAGTCTATTGGTGGAAAACAACTAGTTTTGATTGGCTGGAAATAAAAAAAATCTTCTTTTTTTCTAGAGTATTTCAAAATCTCTCAATCAGGGTTCAAAATTCTACCATGTGCTTCTTATCATTAAGTTAAAGGTTGTTTCATTTTGGCTGCACAGTTGAGAAACTGTTACTGGCAGTTCAGGAATGTGTGGTTATATTTGTAAAGTTGCAGCCTGGAGTTATTCCCGTGCGGACACGTCATTTCAGATGTTTTCGTCATTGTTTGTCACCCAGTCTGCATCCAACAAATCACTGCAGATGTAGGACAAGAGCAGACCTGACAAGTGTTCAGCTGCCGTGTGTCTATATAGTCACGAATGGAAGATGTGTTGGTCTCTCCGTCTGGCCCTTGAACTGGCCTGGCTTTGCCTGCCCCTCTGGATCAGTCCCTTTCCTCGTTTAATTGGCTTTCCTATTGTTGAACATTCTTGTCATGCTCCTGCCCTTTTCTTCCTGTGTCTTTGTTCCCTTTCTCTTCTCACTTTTCCTCTCTGTTTCACCTATTTTCATATGATGAATGGGTCTGGGCCTCCTGCGAGGCTGCCGGTACTGAACCAGATCAGCCTGTGGTGATTGGTTAATCCCATGATGAAATGTGGGTCACTGATGTCTATTTTTAGTCACGCTGGCAGAGGGAAAGCCCAGGTATGGTAATAGGCATCCAGCAAAAATCCAGCTCCAAATTTTAGGAGCAGTGAGCCGACTGAGGGGAATGTCGGCAGGTTTGCTTTATTTTAAGTTTTGCTGATTTAACAGTTCAATGATTTTTGTCTATGAGACCAAGAAGAAAAGTGGAAACACGTCAGTGGACATCTGTTTTTCCTTTTCTGTTTTGGGGGTATGTGATGATAGAGTTCTTGATGGAGTAATTTATGCGGTGTGAGATTCAGGTGCTCGAGGCAAGGGCAACGAGCGATGAGTGTACAACAGCCATGAGGCTTGAGAAGCTGTGATTCATGTTTCCCCCTGGGTGTTGTCGAAGTACACTGTGGTTAGAGAGGCAGTCTTCCTTACAGCTAATGCCTATCGATTCACTTCCTCACAAACACGCACACGGCATGCTTGGCTTGACTTAGAGAGCGAGCAGACAAGAATCAGATGCTCTGTACTTGGCTCAGCATGGGTCAGCGGGTCAGTGGTTGTAGGTTTTCTCATTCAGACACTGGAACATTTCAAAATTAAAGCTGCCCTCACTTATCTTCTGTGCTGCTGTACATCTGTCTTAATCTGAGCAGCAGCAGTTTAACATTGGCTGTAATAGTAGACTAAGCAGGGGAAGTTCATATAGCACATTTTTCCATACTTTAGGGGAAAAACTGATGACGTGTGATGTAAAACCCCTGTCCAGGTACACCGGTTGTCGGTCTCTGCTGATATCTGCCAGTACAAAGACAAAATAATGACTTTAGCTAACTTTAGATCTCAGCTGTGGATAATTGCTTCATGTGAATTAAAGACCTGTTGCATAAGTCTCCATGGAGAAGCTGAGGGCTCTCCAGTCTGTCTCTTTCATTATTAATGAAGTGGCTGCAACTGTTCCACAAACAATCTGCACTCCTGTTGAGTGGACTAAAGCCTGTTTTATTAACGGTTGTGCATTTGCTTTGTGCTTTGCTATAGTCTGTTAATCTCCTTTAACTCTTAGGTTTAATCAGCTAAATCGATGTACAGAGTTCATCTGTGTCTGCTATAGTAAACAGTCGTTCCAGTAGTAGTATTCTGCGGTTTCTGGGGAATAACTGAAATTCAGTGGAGAAAAAGGACTTTTTCCACTTTGTTAGATATAAAAATACATCCACTGTCAGGCTACACATGTTTGTAAGTCTTACATTTAGTTGCTTATCATATTTAGCTCAATTTATTTATACTGCGCCAAATCACAACAACAGTCACCTCAATCATAGATCCTACAATAATACATACAGAGAAAAACCCAACAATCGTGTAACCCCCTATGAGTGAGCACTTTGGTGACAGTGGGAAGGAAAAACTCCCTTTTAACAGGAAGAAACCTCCAGCAGAACCAGGCTCAGGGAGGGGCGGGGCCATCTGCTGCAACCGGTTGGGGTGAGAGAAGGAAGACAGGATAAAGACATGCTGTGGAAGAGAGACGGAGATTAATAACAAGTATGATTCAGTGCAGAGAGGTCTGTTAACACATAGTGAGTGAGAAAGGTGACTGAAGAAGAAACACTCAATGCATCATGGGAATGCATCATATGAGTCCGTTTTTATGACTGTAGCGGGTCAAACGTCAGACCATCTTGAGACTGCTTTCAGTGTTGAACCTCTTCAGAGAGAGACCAGTAAAAACAGGTGCCTGGGTGGTCCCCTGTGAGTGTTGGCGCTACTAAAAATATACCTCATGCATCATTTTTAAAGCTTTGTTGATGCTGTGGGGTTGTTTTTCAGGAGTTGGGCTTGCCCCTTTAGTTCCAATGAAAGAACCTCTTAATGCATCAGCATACCAAGACATTTTGGACAATTTCATGCTTTCATGCTCCCAACTCTGTTCCAACATGCACAAAACAAGGTCCATTAAGATGTGGATTAGGAATGGGATGTCGCTCATGTTACTATGCGTGTGAAGGCAAATGTGCAAATACCTTTTGCTAGAATAAAAATCAGGCTTGTTTGGTGATATTAAGGTAGTTCTAGACCAGCCTGATCCTATGATAAGGCTGCCCTTGTTGTTTAAAGTGCTATATAAGAACCAGTCCATTTTCCCATTCGTCTGAAAGGTCCTGATAAAAACCTTTTTACCTTTTTCTCTCATCATCTTGGCTTGTATGTGGGTGCAGACGTGGTCTTGTAGTGGAATTCTCTTATTAAAACTTGAGTATGCAGATTAACTGCAAAGTTTTCACCCTGAGGCCAGTGGGATACTTTCTGTTCCCGTGCAGCATCATCATCCTTTCAACCTCCTCAGTGGAATTGTTCATAATGTGTCTCTCCCATCTCTACAAGTCTCAGGCACATGTTATGGATATGAACCCGAAATATGCATTAAAATCCACATTAGGTGCAGCATTTCTGGCCGATTGGTGGGTAAATCTGTTACTGAATTTACTTATAGCTGATGGCAGTTCATCATCTACCCTTTTTTTGCTTTTAGAGGCGGAACTCAGCAGCTCGCATGGTCATGTTAGAGGCCTGTTATGACTACAGCGTAAAGAGTTCTTATCTTTGTTATTCTGGCAGCTCTGCTCTGACACCGCTAACCATCATTATCTGCGGATGCAGTCCAGCCCAGACGTCATCGTGTAGCCCAGTTGGCAGCTTGTGCTGTTAGCTTTTTCCACTTCCCATTTTTAGTCCCTTCTTTCTCACGTGCTTGGAAAGAGTCTCTCTTTCCTTTCAGCTGATGCTTCAGTCAAAGGTAAAAAACCATTTTAGAATGCAGTAACAGGTGATATCCATCTACAAGTGTATGTTAAGCTAAAGAGAAGTGGCTCAAACAGAGGGGAAAACCATCCATCTGTCAATCCATCCTTTTTTTCCTTAACTAAATGATGTGAATAGGGATGGCTTCAGAAGGCAAGTACCATCCAATGTTTACTAGAAATGGAATGCATCTTATTGACCGCTCACTGCAAGACACCCTTTAACCATTTTCCAACATCCACGGCCAGCTTACAATCAGTCTTTGGACTGTGGGAAGAATCTGGAGGGCAAGGTTGTGTTTTTTTAATGACCTTTGACCTTTGTATTTTAAATTGTTCTTCTGCTGCAACAAATGTGTGTTTAGAGTTTCAGGCCAGAAACTGTAGTAATAGATTCAGAGTGTGTGATGTACAGAAGTTGTAAAAGATCTTTCCATCAAATGATGAATAATATTGTCCTATAATATCCTGTGCTGTTCACATGATGGTGATTCTGGAGCGTATAAAAGTTTGTTTTTATTACACTATTATATTGTTACGGTGATTATTTCCAATAAAATGGCGTGTCTGTCTGTCAGAAGCCCCTCAGGGGTTCCTGCTCCTGCGAGCGATGAACTGAAATAGGACACTGGAATGTCCTTTATAACAGCTGACAGGATTGAATTTGTGGTCCACCGAAGATCAAGATGTGATTGATGATGAAATAAGGGAACTGAGATGGACCAGTTGTCTGAAATCCTCTTTTAGTTTCCTCTCTATTTTCACAGGATGACAACTGGGGTGAGACCACCACAGCCATCACGGGCACCTCGGAGCACAGCCTCTCTCAGGAGGACATCGTTCGCATCACAAAGGATCTGGAGGACAGTGTGGGGCTCGACTGCCGCCGTTACTTCACCCGGACCCTGGCAATAATCTTAGGCCTGCTGGTGTTTCTCACGCCACTGGCCTTTCTGGTGCTACCCCATATCCTCTGGCCAGACAAGCTGCAGAGCTGTGGGACGGCCTGCGAGGGCCTCTTCATCTCTGTGGCCTTCAAACTGCTCATACTGCTGCTGGCTGTCTGGGCGCTCTTCTTCAGGCCAGCGCGGGCAGGACTCCCAAGGGTCTATGTATTCCGGGCACTACTTGCTGTACTGGTTCTGCTCTTTGTGATCTCCTATTGGCTCTTCTATGGAGTCAGGATACTCGACTCACAGGTGAGCTAAGAGAGGGGAAAACTGTACGTGTGAATGAAAATTCATTGAGTACTACACACACATACGCACAGAAACAAAGGTTTCAGTAGCATGAGTACTGCAGTCACATTCATTTTTAATGCCATCAGAAGCTCAACAAAGCCACAAACAGCTAAAACACAGATATTTGATTTCCCAGTGCTGTGTGTTTACTCTGTGAGCCATAATTTAAAATCCTTGTAAGTCCCTGATTGAGAATCCCTGTAGGAATACACACTTTCAAAGGACGGCGTTTCAGCCGTCCTTTGAAACGCTGCTAAATATTTATATGCTCTACATCTAGTCTCACATGTGTTTATGCCTGGAAGACTATTTTAGGCATAATCTGTGTTTGAAACTGTGTTGGGACATATTTACTATGCAGTTATTTTATTAGATTTGTGTTTACTTTACATATTTTGAGTAAATCGGTCACAAACGATTCCCAAAAATCCTAACTGTTGATAGGACGAGAACTACCAGGGTATCGTGCAGTACGCCGTGTCGCTTGTGGACGCTCTCCTCTTCATCCACTACCTGGCCATCGTCCTGCTGGAACTGCGGCAGCTTCAGCCGTGCTACTCCATGTGCGTCACACGCTCCACAGATGGCGAGACAAGGCACTACAACCTGGGACAGCTCAGGTAAGGAGCACAGAGTGACTCCATTAAATGTAGACCTTCTCCTCTTTTAGCATCGTCTTTGAATAAATTTGTGTTTTTCATGGCGTTAGTCCGAGGGTAAAGCATTAACAGTGTGAGCAAGACGGAGTGTTTGAGGTAGATTTTTGAGGGAGTTCTTTCCAATAAAATGCACACATTGACATATTTGGGAGCCAGGCTTGCCTCTAGTGGCCATCAGGGGAACTGCAGCTTTGCAGTTCCATTTGCCTTTTGGTTTCATTTTTCTGGCCTACTTGTTCTCAGAGGGTTAAAATGAGATGTGACACTCTTTGCTATCGTAGCTTCCATGTCAATCGGACTGGAAAGAAAAGCATATTTACATCCAAATGTGGCTCAGCGAGCTTTCAAATACTTTGCTGTTGCTGATGAGAACTAAAAAGTCAACAACTTTATAAGACTTAGTGACACTGTGTTAGCAATCAGGAGAGAGAGGAAGAGATCAAGGGGAGATGAATTTAGGGAAAACAAAAGACGTCCGTGTGGGCGAGATGAAGGCAGAGGAAAGGACAGAAACTGGGGCACCTCAAGTTAGAGAGGTGGGAAAATAAGAGGCTAATAGCTGCTTACTTGCACAGAGATGGGAGTAAGAAATTCATGTAGGAAAGTCAAGAAAGAGAGAAGATGAATATTAAGGAGTCATTAACACATAGATAGTAGAAATGATTATTATAAGGTAGAGCTGAAGAAAATGTAGAATGTATAAAAAAGGCACAAAGACAAAGTGCCTGATGTGGAGAGAAAACCATGCCAGAAGGAAAGAAAGGAGAGGGTGGGGAAGACTTCAGAGAGGAAACTCCTCAGAAAAGAGCTGCAGACACAGGGCGGAGTACATAGGAAAGCCCGGGAGACTGGAACAAGGAAAAATCTAAAGGAGGGACCAAAAAGGAGAATAGAGAACAAGGAACTAATAGTTAATGGAAAGGGGTAAAGAAAGAAAGAAGGTGTGTGTGTGTGTGTGTGTGTGTGTGTGTGTGTGTGTGTGTGTGTGTGTGTGTGTGTGTGTGTGTGT